TCACAAATGGCAGATGGTGACTTCCCCCAACAGGTAAATTTTGATAATGGTAATAATTAACAGCAGTAAATATTAAGAATAATTTGAACTGATTTAGGGTTTTGGTATTGTTTGTGAACAGGAGCTCACAGGAGCTTTCATGAGGAATTGTACACTGCATTATTCCTCGTACAGGAACATCTTCCCCATTTGGGCTTTGGGGGAATACAAAAGATGTGTTCTGTATGCATAAACTATACGGGGTGGGTTTCCTGGGGTATTTTCGATCTGTATAGTATTTGTTTGAAAGTAATTGTCGTTATAATGTTCAAGAATACGTATATTTTACCTAGTGATGTTAATCTATACATTTTACATAGTGTAAGAAATTCAAGATAGAGTCAAAACCACAGATTAAGTTTGGAATACAATCCAGATTGTTGAGTTATCCAAACCTGAAAGCAAACTCACGCATTTGAAGTTTGAACAGATCCCATATATAGGGGTGGGAAACGGTTTGGTCCGGTGAAAACTGGACCGGATTCACCCGGTTTTTTAAAACCGTTTCGACCAAGACAGCAACCGGAAATTGAATTGGATAGGGAGCCGGTTTCAACCGTGACCGAACTGGATTGAATCAGGTCCGCTCCGGTTTCAACCAAAAAACCGGAACTTCTCCTTTCTCCCAAAACGACAGCGGCTCTTCACCTCCTTCTCTCCCGAAAAATCACCTTTTCCAAATTCTCACTTTCATTTCCAATCCCACCGAGAAACCCTCCAGATCCCTCTCAACCCTCATTTACTTTCCTTCTCTTTCTTCCTCCCAAAATCTCAACCCTTCTTTTCATGTCTTCTCCGTCATCTTGTCGATCTCGCCTCCGCCAACAGAGCTGCTCCTTCCCGTCCCTGACTTTTGCCGAACAGAGCTGCCCCTTACCCTTCATCGTCGACCTCACCTCCGCCAATAGAGCTATTCACGAACTTGCCGCCTCCGCCAAAACAGTCTCGAGAGAGAACGAAGATGAGGAAGCGGTGAAGCAAGAAAAGAAAGCGGCGGAGTGCGAGGGAGATTGGAGGAGATAGATCGGCAATGTAGTTTGGCGCATGTAGAACCCGACGGAGAAAAGCTCGAGATGGGAATCAATAATCGTCGACGGTTGTGTCTTCGGAGTCCTTCTCCTCTTGTCTTCCTCTTCTTCTTCTTCTTCTTCTTCTTCTTCTTCTTCTTCTTCTTCTTCTTCTTCTTCTTTTGGAGTGAGAGCCGACGATTAGTCAGCCGAGGTTGTCATCGCCGTGGGTGAGAGGGGTGAGAGATTGAGATTAATCGAGAGAGGAAGAGGGAGAGGAGAGCGGCGACTGTAGGACTTAGGGTTGTGGGTGGGGTTACGGGTTTCGGGCTTCAAAACTAAAGAGTTGGGGCTTGGGCTAGGCTTCATAGGGTCGGGCTTGGGTTTGGGACTGGAGTTTAGGCCTTTTGTGTTTGGGTCTGGGTATGGGTCTTAGGCTTCACAGTAAGGAGGTGTGGCTTGGGCTGGGCTTCACAGGGTCGGGCTTAGTCTTGGGTTTGTTATCCGATTTCCTATTAAAACCGGGTAAAACTGGACCCGGACCGGGGCGGTTATTTACCCTCAACCTCATACCGCAAACTGGATTGGATTAATGAGAATCCAGTTTCCGGTTACAACCGGGACGGTTTAAACTGCCCAGTTTCCGGTTTGACCGGAAAATCCGGACCGAATTCCCCGCCCTACCCATATATATATATATGGGGAGTTCTATGGTACCCAGAGTGAAATCAGGAGTACCACATACCTTGAGTAAGAAAACGCTATCCAGAACTTGAATTGATTGATCTTTCTGACATGATACTATACTCCAAACCTTAAAGATCAAAATCTAGGTTTTAATTCTCTAAATATTATACCCCAAGATCAATTTAATTAGAAACAATAATCGACGGTTATGATTCGTCCGAATATAGACAAAAAAATCAATGCACCATCTTAGGGTTTATATTTTATGATTTAAATAATTAGGACCAAGGGTTCACTCATTAAGGGTTAAGGTATAGTATCATGCCCAAAAATCCTGTTAATTCGAGATCTAGATAACGTTTTCATACGCAAGGTATGCGGTACCCCGGATTTCACCCGGGGTACCGTAGAAGGCACCATTCTTATGAATAAGTTAATTTCCATTTTATCAAAGTACCATCATGTACAAGGCGAAGAACTCGAGTTTGAATCTAATTAGGGGTGGCTATACGGTCCGGTCCGGTTAAATTTGTCTGAGTTGATCCGGTCTCGGTCCGGTCTTTTCGAGAATATAAGGACCAAAGATTGGATCGGATACAGTCCGGTCTTGAACCGGTCCGGTCCCAATTCGGTCTTGATTTTAGATTGAGCTTGTGGGGATTTGAGTGGTCTGAGGGGGGTTTTGAGTGGCCTAAGGCATGAAAGGGAGGTTAAATTTTGGGTGTTGGGCTCTCTTATCCGGTCTTTATCTGGTTTTGGGTCCAGTCCGAAATGGTTTTTTACCTCAATCTAGGCCCAAAAATTGGATTGTATCGTTTGCTATCCGATCTCGGTCCGATTTCGAGTAAAACCAAAAAGGCCGGACCAAATAGCCAACCCTAATTAATATAATAATGTCAGATGTCCTTCGCCTATGTGTGCTGTTCTTAGTCTCTATTCTCTAATTACAAAGGTTACGTAACATCACAAGCTAAGGAAATTGCTGTCCTCCTCCAATGGAATGCTCACCATCACGATCAGTAGTAATTAATCACTATGTGTAGCTCCATCATTGGGCGCCAATCTGTTCATCTACTCAAATCGATCGACAGGCGGGCAATATTATTGACTAATTTGCCAACCTAATTAAATGCATGAAAAGAAGAGCGACAGTGACTGCAGCTGCATATATCTTCCTTAATTTGTCTGGCCACTTCACTGTCATTTCATATCGAAGTTTTGTATCAGATTCAGATGGGTGCAACAGAAGAAACATTTAAGACGACGAGATCGGCAGGAGGATGAGAAGGGAACGGTTGAGCAGAGCATAAATTAAGTCTGTGGTTGGCTGTTGGTTGCATGCATGTGCCATATGTGCCATGTGGTTTGATGAGTATAAAATTCTCTGTGTTGTTTCAACAATTTCAGTTGCAAAACAATCCATATTATTTCAGAAGAAAATAAACCGATGAATATGAGCTTATAATTCATCAAATACTTTTAATCAAAAGGAATTTCTCATGGATAGTGGTGAAAGTTTTTGACTCGCTAAAATTGCTACTCAATGGCCAAGTGAAACCAATAGTGGTATAGCAACCATGAGTGCCCAACAATCCAACCCATATTTACCACCTTAATATGTTTTCAATGTTAAAACTAAAGTGGCCTTATAAAGTCGTTCCACCTCTACTGCAAGAAAATATGCTTTCGGCAACCATCAATTATGATCGCCCAAACTGAAAAAATGATTGTCGAAACCTTCAAGCAACCATAATTGATGGTTGATAAGATGGTCGACAATACTGCGTCGATATAAGTCCAAGGCGACCTTTATTTGGTATGGTCGCCAAATGTCTACTTTAGGCGACCATATACTATGGTTGGTGGAACACCGATTCGACGATTATCTTATTATGGTTGCATGTACACATTTTCAACGACTATACAAAAATGCAGGGGCGGAGCTAGGATTTAGTTTTCGGGGGGGCCGGAATCCGGTTAACGTAAAGGACAAAAAGTACTAATAAACAAATATTTGAAAAATTTAATAATACACACAATATTTTTCGTATTAAATTCAATATAAATTAGAATAATATGAAGAAAATTAACAACACATTTCAATTTTGTGTGGTATATTTTGATTTCATTACTAAAAAGTTAAGCTCTACGGATATTATTATTCAAAAGTACTCATTATATATCTGAAAGTAACCTTAGAATTAATAATTTTAATTGATATAATATTAAATTAAAATTTAATGAACCAAAATATGAGGGGGGAAAGGAAATTGAATACCGTAGCTTTAAATAGGGTGAAAGAATTGACCATCTACTTAAGTGAACAATGTAAAGAAAAATATAAAAATTGCTATTGAAAGGGATCAAACCCTCGCTCAGGCACCCAATAGACCACAAATATAGTTTCCTTCCGTTGGACTACATCTATTTTCTTTGTAAAATTCCTCATGTCAGTGGTTATTTGTTCATTCCTTTTAATTTATACGTATAGTCTCGAACTTTTTACACGTAATTTTCAAAATTCTCGAGGGGGCCGGGGCCCCGAGAACTAAGCTAGCTCCGCCCCTGAAAAATGGTTGGTGAAAGGCCAAAATTCCAGCAACCATAATTATGATTGCTACAAGATAGCATGTTAGGCATCGATTTCATATATGGTTGTCAAATGAGCGATTTCATCAACTATTATTTAGGGTTGCCAAACAGTGAGTGATAGGTGGGTATTTAGGCAATCCTTCATATATTATGGTTGACAAAAGGCATATTATGGGACTATTACATCTAATAGTTCATCACTAATCATTGTGTACAATTAATTTGGATATATTTTAAGAAATATACTTTCGAATAAAAGATTATAATATGAGATCAGTGAAATATTAATTCAGATTACAAGATACCAAGGAAAAAGTGAATAGAAAATAAGTGATTCTCCATACATATTTGGATAATATTGTACTTTGTTTTATTAATTAATGAATATTTTGGGATTGGGTGTATCGGTACTGTGCAACGGCTCCGGTCGTGAGAATCACGGTCTATTAGTGACAAAGACATCTTAGGATCAAGGACCGGGTCATCATTGCGTTCGGTTCACTTGGTCCGATTCGGTCCGATACAAATATCAGCTCGATCCATCATTTCTTCAATAATCGTAACATCCATGTAAACCGCATTATACTCGATCCGGTGCGATCCGACTCCTTTGAATTCGTATTGAGTGAAGAAATCCCTCTGACGTCATTTCTTTTCGCCGTCCATTTAATTCCTTAATAATGTTCATATGTATACGTGGCCATCCATCCTATGATTCGTTTAGCAGGTCTGGCGACTATATATACATACATATAATATTTGCATCACCATTTTGAAAGATATATGGAAGTAAGTACTTAACAGCACCACAGAAAGAAGAAGAAGAAGAAGAAGAAGAAGAAGATAATAATGTGGAAGCTGAAGATATCGGGAGACGGGGAGTGGGTGAGCAGCGGCAACGGCAACGTCGGACGGCAAGAGTGGGTGTTCGACCCAACCGCCGGCACGCCGGAAGAGAAGGCCTCCGTCGAGAAGGCTCGCCGGGAATTCAAGGAGAATCGATTCAACGCCAAGCAGAGTGCTGATCTACTCATGAGAATGCAGGTATTATATAGTCTAGGGGTGGTTTGTTTTCTCGGTTTGTTTTAGTGAGATTGTTACTATACCTGTTTTCTTTAGAATATTTTTGTATTTATTTTATTATTGTCGACCATATAATATATGTATGGTGTGATAGAAATCATTGTTTGCTTTTTTTTATTAAGATTGTTGGAATTGTTTAGTTGAGATTATTATTTTTTTCAGTTTTATTATATAAAAAGTGATTTTTACAAGAAGAGGTACAGGTGATATTAATAAAAAGTATTGAGGAATTGTGCTTTTTATCTTTAATTATCATAAACACAATCACAATATCAAACGCAAAGGAATCCACTAAAGTATTGGGAAAAAATATATGTTAGCTTTTTAAAATTGATTTAATTACTAATTATATTAGAATGATGTACGGAGATCAGTCATTGTACACTATATAAATATGTATGGCTTTAGTTATATGAAATTCAGCAATTTTCATCGCATCGCGATCTCTTATCTACAACTGAAAATATTTCATGATCAAATCGTGAATCATACTAATCGATGTTTCCTACAAACAAAAAAAAAGAGATGCATTGATCGCTTTCTTGATACTAAAAGTTTACTTATAAATTATAATGACTTTCAAATTAACGTGACTTGAAAAGAAAAAAATTCTGTCATTCGTCTTCGAAATGTAATCGATAAATAACACATCTTCTTGAAACGAGAGAAGCGATCGACCGCTATCTTTTCAACAATGAGTCTGCCGTAATATTTTAAAGCTTAATTGATTTTTTTTTTTTCATATCCAAATCCAACAGCTTACCAAAGAGAACTCCATAGGGGCGATTCCCGCCGCCGTGAAACTGAACGGAAGTGAGGAGATAACGGAAGAAGCGATTTCAACCACACTGAGACGGGCCATTAGCTTTTACTCGTCGATTCAGGCCCATGATGGCCACTGGCCCGCTGAATCTGCTGGGCCTCTGTTTTTCATGCCCCCATTGGTGAATTGATACGACACCGTCTCGTCTAGAGTTTCAAGAACATGTGTTTGTTTTTTTGTTAATACAATATATTAGCCATAACTATTAAACAGCGGGGAATTATAGCCACAATTATCGAAATATAAATTATTAGCCAACCGTTGAAGTTTTCGTAACACTTCTATTAGTAATGATGACTAAAATTAGGGGTGGCTATACGGTCCGGTCCGGTTAAATTGGCCCGAATTGATCCGGTCCAGTCCGGTCTTTTTGAAAATATAGGGACCAAAGCTTGGATTGGGTACAGTCCGGTTTTGACCCGGTCCGGTTTTGACCCGGTCCGGTCCCAATCCGGTTTTGACCTGTTTTGACCCATTAGTTCTTTTCCCTTCTTGGTTTAATAATTTTCCAGAAGAAACGTGGGTTGATGTTCCTTTCCCTCTTCAATTTCATTTGTTTCATTATATTATTATTGAATGGTCAGTGAATGGAGTAATCAGAACAATCAACAATCATCAACAATCTATATAAATACGTTTTACACCGCGTGGAAGCTGCCATTTCAAAAATGCTGCCCTAGAAGCGTTTCCCGGAAGGGCATCCAAGTAACTTACCACCATTTCAAACCCCGCCTGAACAAATTCCACATCACAAAGACAAAACGCTGCGTTAGCTCTTTAGTTTGTTAATTCACCCACCAATTTTCCGTTCACGCTGCAATCCCTAATCGCCAACCCCCACCAATTCCACCGCCAACGGAAATCCCTTCTTCTTTCCCTCTCAATCGCGCTCGTCATTGCTGCGGGGTCACGCTGCGTCAAGATGTTGTCGTGTGGCGACGAGATGTTGGCTAATGAGATGCTCGTTGCTGCTGGGTCACGTCGCGTCGCGGAGCTGAGCGGAGGTGGGAGCGACTGCGCCGACGGCGCGGATCCGACTGATGGCCGCGATGCCGATTCGGAGGGGTGGGAATTGAGGAGAGGTATCGGCTGACGGCTGCGCTGCTGTTTGTGTTGTCCGTTTCAAAAGTTGCAATTTGCAACCCTAGAATAGTACAGTGGGATTCGGCTGGGCTGAATGGGAGGGGGAGTGGGCCGAGTGGTTGGGCTCATCTAGGGCTTGGGCTTTGCATTTGGGTGATCAGTTTATTATTTATCCGGTCTTTCGGTTTTGACACGGTTTTGACCCGGATTGGATTGGTCCGGTTTTTTTATTAATTATGGGACCAAAGACGGGATTGGATTGTTTTAAATCCGGTCCCGGTCTTAAACGGTCCGGGTTATACGGTCCGGTTTCCGGTTTTTTATCCGGTCCCGGTCCAAATGGCCACCCCTAACTAAAATTTTACAATGCTGAGTTGGCTCCCACGTGGCAGTCATCATATAATATTTTTTACGATGATGACATGGCCTTCTCCGTTAAAAATTTGAAAACAGTAACGGGCTGTTAGCCAAATCTTGACCCGCAACAATAGTTATGGCTAATAATTTGTATTTCGATAGTTATGGTTATAATTCCCCGTTGCTTAATAGTTATGGCTAATATATTGTATTTACCTTTTTTTCCTTCTAATTATTTGTAGAGTTGCATTGTGGTGAATCATGCATTGTGCAGGTATTTGCATTGTACATAATGGGATCACTCAACTCTGTCTTATCATCTGAACACCAAAAGGAAATCAAGCGTTACATCTACAATCATCAGGCAAGTCACCAGTACAAACTTTATGTTTTCGATAGCTATTTTTTTCTGGTCGAACCGACTGATACGATACAGTTTAGCGAACACTACCTGACACGTTCTAAAACGCTTTGCTTTGTCGCTAATCGTTACATAGAATGAGGACGGCGGGTGGGGACTGCACATAGAAGGCCACAGCACCATGTTTGGATCGGCATTGAGCTACATATGCCTGAGACTCCTTGGTGAAGGTCCAGAAGATGGGGAAGACATGGCTGTTTTCAGAGGTCGGAAATGGATACTTGATCATGGCGGCCTTGTCAGAATACCTTACTGGGGAAAGTTTTGGGTCTCTGTAAGTAAATAACTTGCATCCCAAGTCTTGTATAATCTGCATATCTTAATTAGGTGTGACACGGTTCAAACTCGAATGTGATAGACGATGTTATTCTTCGAGATTGTCTTCAATCAGCGTCAGTTCTAGGTTCAACTTTTAAAGTTTAGTGCAGTTTTTTTTTTGGTAGTAACCTGTTACATTTATAGTAGGGCTGGTAAACGGTTAGTCGGTTATCGGTTTTAATCGATAACCGAATCGATAAAGACGATTAGTGATTAACCGATAATATCTTATTGATTTGATTTCGGTTAGTTATATTTTGCTTATTGGTTAACCGTTAACCGACCAATTGGTTAGTGGTTAACTGATAACCGCCAACTAGTATAACCACATAGTTTTGGATATTTGGCTAAGGGAAAAGTTTCAATATTCAAAACCAATAAAAGTCGCAATATCCAAACATCTCAATTCCCAACTATTGCAAACAACCCTCCACCAAGAGTCTCACATGTGTTTAAGAGTCAGAACCCCGAAAGTCACTTCTCTCTAACTCCTCTTTGCATTCGACAGAGCAAACGTCATACCCTAGTGATCGTTTTCTCTTTGATGTTTGTGAATGATGATCTTGTGGTGCTTGTATTCGATGTCTTGCAAATTGGATGAATAAGTTTGATTAATTTTTATTTTATGCATTGGGAATTCACGATGAATAATGTCATGTAGTTAGATTGTTTTGAATTACTTGTATGATTATTCGCCTTTAATATTTAGTACTCTTCGTCATTCTTATGTTTGTGGATTGAAAATGATGTTAAATGACACTTGTTAAACTTAATTGGATGATGATTTGTGTATTACAAGTGGTTATTGCTTCGGTTTATTATATTTTGTGAAAGAAAACCGAAGTTATTGATTTGATATTTAGGTCGATTATGTATAACCGTAGTTGTTGGAAAGTATGTTAGTTGTTATTAGTTAACCGCCAAACTAACCACTAACCAAACCGATAATTGATGGTTAACCGATAAAGCTTATCGGTTCAGTTATCAATATGGGTTTTTTGCTTATTGGTTAACCACTAACCATCATATCGGTTAATGATTAACCGAAACCGAACCGATTACCACCCTAATTTATATTTTATAGTACGGGTTTCCACAACCCCAAGCACGGAAAGCCCTTTCGCATTCTTATATAGAGTTGTATTCATTTGATTTAGTGACCAATTTCTTTCTTGTTGTTGCATGCACATATGATATAGGTTCTTGGGCTATACGAATGGTCAGGTTGCAACCCTTCTCCCCCGGAGATTTTGCTTTTGCCCTTAAGCTCCCCTATTCATGCAGGTGCATATTCTAAGTATAAGAGGATGCAAATTCTTTGTATTTCAAATATGTTGTCAACTATTGGGCCAAATAGCATATCGACCGATTCAAACGCAACGATCTTATTTTTCGTTCAGGTAAGATGTTGTGTTATAGTCGGCTGGTTTACGTGCCGATGTCTTATCTTTATGGGAAGAGATTCGTTGGTCCGATCACCGAACTAATCCAGAGTTTAAGGGAAGAGCTCTACAATGAGCCGTATCATCAGATCAACTGGAATGCAGCAAGGAATACAGTTGCAAAGGTATAAATTACAAAAACAAGAAACCAAACTAATTATGAGTATATGCATGCATACAACCCTAAAGGTTCATTGTTGAAATTTGTGTATGTCTGTGATTTTCTGATTTCAGGAGGATCTCTATTACCCACATCCTCTTGTACAAGACCTGACATGGGGATTCATCCACCATTTCATGGAGCCATTATTAACACGTTGGCCACTCTCTAAGCTGAGGGACAAGGCACTAAGGTTAGCCATGGAACACATACACTACGAGGATGAGAACAGCAAGTACCTCTGCATTGGAAGTGTTGAAAAGGTTCTGTGTCTAATGGCTTGTTGGGTGGAAGATCCCAACTCAGATGCCTGTAAGAAACACTTGGCTAGGCTCCCAGATTACTACTGGGTTGCTGAAGATGGGCTCAAGATGCAGACATTTGGCTGTCAAACTTGGGATGCAGCTTTCGCGATACAGGCAATCATGTCGAGTAACCTGAGTCACGAGTACGGGCCAACTCTTCGAAAAGCACACGATTTCCTGAAGTCTGCACAGGTGAGCTGTTTCAAATGATCATAGTGTTTTTGTTCTTTGAAGGGTTCAATCACCAATTTTCCTGCATCTGAAACAAACATGAGAAATGGTGTTACAAAGGTGAGGGAGAATCCGAGTGGCGACTTCAAGGCAATGTATAGGCACATATCGAAAGGGTCATGGACCTTCTCAACTCAGGATCATGGGTGGCAAGTTTCTGATTGCACTGCTGAAGGACTCAAGGTTGAGTTCTCAGTTTAATTTTTGCACTTCCTGCAATTTTCTGCTGTCACGGCGGAGTATTGCATATTAACGAAAGAAAACGATGCGCAGAACAAGCATCCAAGCACATTCTCTTAATCCTATATATGTACATTCTCACAATATTTGGTTACTGCTTCACTTTTTGGTGCAGTGTGCACTGCTGTACTCTCAAATGCCTGTAGAACTCGTCGGCCAGCCAATGGAAGCAGAGCAGTTGTTTGATGCTGTTAATGTCATTCTTTCTCTCCAAGTAAGAACAAATAAACCATTGCTCATTCCTCAAACGTGTCAATCCCCTCAAAAGGGTTCTAGTGGTTAGAGTTTTGCTGAACTCTCAGCAATGAATATGCAGAGCAAGAACGGTGGATTCACAGCCTGGGAGCCACAAAGAGCATACGAGTGGTTAGAGGTAATTACCTATTTCATATAATCCATTCACAATCCCTGTTCAAATCCAAATTATAGTCAACTCGCTCATCAAATAGTCTTCTTGATCTGTTACAGAAGTTCAATCCAACAGAGTTCTTTGAAGACGCTATGATCGAGCGCGAGTAAGCCTGTCTAGACACGCGGATATGTCCTTGAGGGAAAATTGATGGGTAAAAGTAAACTGAGCCTCATCCTGAAAATTGTTTACACAGATATGTTGAGTGCACAGGATCAGCAATGCAAGCTCTAGCTATGTTCAGGAAGCACTACCCAACCCACAGAAGTAAGGAAGTTGATGCTGCTATCGCCAGAGGAGCCGACTACATCGAGCAAACACAGAACAATGACGGCTCGTGGTACTAATAATGTCCATTACCATACTACTAAGGCAAAATTTATGCAGCCATGTTCTAACCTGTGGGATGTGCTGAGGAAACTATGTTATCTATCAGGTATGGTTGTTGGGGGATTTGCTACACCTACGGGACGTGGTTTGCAGTGGAAGGGCTGGTCGCTTGCGGCCGAAGCTACACAAACAGTCCCGCCCTGCGAAAAGCGTGCCGATTCTTGTTGTCCAAGCAACTACCTTGTGGTGGATGGGGAGAGAGCTACCTCTCCAGCCAAAACAAGGTCAGCCAATTTTCCTTACTTGCATGATATATAGACAAAGAGCAGAGCTCTTGAAAGTGTGTAAAAACCGAAACAGGTATACACCAATCTGCAGGGGGATAAGGCAAATCTGGTTCAAACTGCATGGGCGTTGCTCTCCCTTATCCATGCCGGTCAGGTAATTAGCACTTACAGTACTTCTACACTCCAATGCCTGCTATCACAGTGGCTGTTGCCGCGGTATCATTGTCGTATTAACTTGTACTGTGATGATGTAACAGGCTAATGTGGATTCAGCACCGATCGAGAAGGGGATGAGACGGTTGGTTAATTCACAAATGGATGATGGTGACTTCCCCCAGCAGGTAAATCAAGAGTAGTAATCATCATCCGTTGGAAATCAGTAAGAAAGGATTTACTGATTCGGGCCTTTCGGTATTGATTTGTGAACAGGAACTCACAGGAGCTTTCATGAGGAATTGTACACTGCACTACTCCTCGTACAGGAACATCTTCCCCATTTGGGCACTGGGAGAATATAGTAGCCATGTTATGGGTGCATAAGTAATCAAGTTATTCTCTCTACCAAAAAAAAAAGTAATCAAGTTATATGGGGTTCTTTTTTCATGGGTGTTTTCAGTATAGTAAAAGTTTGATATAATTGTATGTATAAGCAAAAATGCGTAAGTTATATAGTAGCCAGATGAGCATCACATCCTAAAAGAAAATAAAAGGAAGCAAGTTTACGGTTGCTTCCAACCAACTACTATTGAATCAAACAGCAAATGTGTAGTAATACCAGGACGACTTTCGAAGAAATAGTGAAGCTCACTTCTTACATTACACACTCATGGACATAATCTGGCGGGCAAGACCGGGATCCTGCTGCAAAAGCTCCCTCAAGTTGTTCTCCACCTCAGCCATCTGCTTTTCCAAGTACTCCTTGGATGTCTGTTAAACCAAAAAACATAATTCATAATTCATACTACCATTTCTCATGAAACAATTCTATATGATCCAAGTTCAACAAGGTAAGAAATAGATTTGTGATGTTTTCAAATTTAAGTTCCCCAAGTCAAACAAGGTAGTTTGACATCCGGAACATACGGTATACGGAAGATATTAGGAGCATCGATCACATTAAATTGGTCAGATTGTCCTCCTAATGTGAGTTCAGTTGGTTTGATTTAGTAGACAAAGAGTTAGCAGCAGCAGAAAGGAGAAGATAGAATGAAAATGGCTATACCTGCAGCGACGCTATTGCAGACTCACTATCCTTGTGTTTTTGCTCTTGTTCAGTCATCAACACAGACTTAGGCTCCAAGACAAACCTGGCCACCGTTCAACAGAAAGAGAGAAATCCATCACTTACAGCCACATATGCCCTAACTAGAACAAATCATCATTTGGCTAGAGCAAAACCAGACTGTGCAGCATTACTCACGTTCTTCCTGCAAAAGGATGAAGACAAGAATGTTAAACCACAATTTTTTTTTCTTTCCCCCCATAACGTGGAAATAGTCGAGTAACGAACACATAAATCAGCTCCATAAACAAGCAATGATGGAAGCAAAGAAACAGCATAGGATATATCCCCCATACGAAGGACGTTTTCTGGCTTCGTACCAATGGACTTGTATGTATTTGTGTCATCGGGCACCTGTTGCAATTCCTGCAAAGTCAGGTAAGCACGCTTCTTTTCTCCCTCTTTAGTACGCATCTGGTTCTGCACCTGAAACGAAAGACGCATCAGTTCAGATTAATGACAACAATTACCTTTTACTAGCCACCCATTTTGTGAAGTACAAACACCAAAACAAGCACCAAAAACTGGAGAAAAACAGGCTAAAAAAATAAGCATCAACTGATCCCCCCTTGTCATTTTTCGTCTCAGCTTTTCAAATACACACAAGCCTCACATCCCAATCCACAAAAGAGCTTTCACACCATTGGCATGCTTCACGGTGACAAAGTATCTAAAATCAAGATCACACATGCTATACATTTGCTTCTATGATACCAATTCCGCAGGAATAACTTCCGGGGAATGTATCAAAAGTAAAACCACCAGCTGAAATGGCACAGTAGAATGGCATCCTAAAGCAGAGTACCCAATTCTAGGTCAACACTACGACATTTCAATCTCAAAATCAACTCACCATTCTTTACTGTATATACATTATAGAGATTGAGACCAATGATCTATGAACGCTCCCGGTGGATAGAGTAAACAATCCCCTGAAGCTAGCTACTCATGATACTATGTAACTTCAAATTTGCATCCAGATTTGTCCTGAGTTTTAAAAATTCCAGCAAATGCAAAGATTTGAACAGCGACTAACCTGCTTCAGTTTGGCAGTAGTCTCGATCATGCGACCTTGAATCTCCATAAAAGCCTGAGGGAAGCAACGAGATTCCCAAAAACCCACATGGAGACAAAATGTATTCAGTAACTTAGCAGGTCAACTGAACAAACAAAATGAATCGTATGCTGTGTTCAATCAAAAGAAGGAAGGCCAGCTTCGTCTGGCGGAATCAGAGCTAGCAGAGGGGGTTTGAAGCTGTTCTTACGGTTCTGTTGGCTTCGTCCGCCATTGGAAGTGGATAGACTGAGAGGTCGAGCTGACAGACTTGATTAATCGACGAGTGGAGCGATGGAGCTTTCTAGGGTTTTTCCCGCTTTTCCGAATCTCAGTCTTCAGACGAGATAGAGGTCTCTGGTGAAAGGCTTGAAAGCACGATGAGCTCAAGTCGTTAACCACACAGATGGGTCAAAAGCAAACGGCATCGTTTAATCGATATTACAAAATTAATCGATGTATAATTTTTTTATAAGAGTGATATAGGTTTTTTTTTTAATTTTGTTGTCATTAACGTACTACTTAAGGGATTCGAACCTGAAACCTCCAAGTTATAGGCTAGGCCAAGTCTCAATGTATAAATTTTGCGTTGTTGAAATGGGTTTGTGCGAGAGGAAAGTTCATCTTACGATTTTTATGTTGAAAACTAGTAATAATATTGTATATCGAGATGGAAAATGGATCGGATTCATGGGTTGGTGGATTGGATTGGTGTCGTGGATCCAACGGATTGGTGGATTGAATCACATGGATTGGTGGATTGATCCATGGATCTAAATAACATCCAAGCCTTGGATCAAAATGCAAATTTTGAAAAGTTTAGGTATTAAAATATAAAAAATATAGGTACCAAATCATAATTTGTCATTTGAATCCATGGATTGATCCATGAATCCACCAATCCAATTGGATTTGGATCAAATGGATTGGATTAGGTGGATAATTTAGTGGATGGATTGTAGGGATGGCAATGGGTCGGGTTTGAGGCGGGGTTGTCTAAACCATCCCCATCCCCATCTTCAAATATTCAAACCCATATCCGCCCCATACCCATGCGGGGGAAAGTTTGGCAAAGCCATCCCCATACCCGTGGGTTTCGGGTACCCATGAGTAATACTCGTACCCGTACATCCAACATTATTATCCTATAACTTACAAGAAAAGTTTTAACTACAACTCTAAACGTACCTATTATATAACGAATTCAACAAAACACGATCATTTTCTTAATACGGTTCAAAGAATATGATCCTAAAACATTTGTTAATACATAATATAGATTATAATATTTTTCAAATTACTATGTTCTAACTCTGATACATCTACTAAGTAATAATTAACTAACATAATCTTGTTGACAAGGGGGAAAGTGAAAGAGTGAAAGGAGAATTGAGGAAAATGAATTAGGTTTTGATTAAGATGGTCACTCAATTGCATTTCTACTATTTATTTCCTCGAGTTATCCTCATCATCATTGATAGATTACAATTTGATCCACATATTTTTGTATATGTGAAGAAATTCTCTTGGTGGGTGGGGCGGGGGAGGCTAAAACCATACCCGCCCCACACCCATCAAACTTTTTGCGGGTTTTACCCATACACGATTAAAGCGGGGATTACCCGCGTTGACTGGGTCGGGGGCGGTCGGGTACCCACGACCATGGGTTTGATTGCCATCCCTAATGGATTGGATTGGATTCATGGATTTGGATCCTAATTGCCACCTCTAATTGTATATAGTTTTTTAAATGATGAATGTAGCATGAAATTTACGATTTTAGTGATCGCATTAGTAAGTAGAAAGAAACTAACAATGAGGGCGATTTTAACAAAAATCCACTGACATCTTCATCTTCTTCTTTCTATAGTTAATGAGAGACCTAATATTGTTTGTGGAATGTGAAAATAATATCGTTAGTTAAAATGGATAGAGGTCCGGCGAAGGAGGCGCCCGTCGGCCACAGTTTCCCGGCGTGGAAAGAGTCGTGCGATGGAAGGGAGGTTGTTTGAATTGGGTCTTATTCTAATTGACGATAACCAACTTTGTCATAATCACCATAGCATTCGTCCTGCCGTCGATCCCCAAAAGCCTACATCTGCGTCAACAGTTTTTCCCCCTTTTTTTCATCGTCCGTTGTAATTCGGAAGGAGCTCGTCTACGCTTTTCTTTAATATCTGACTTTCATCCAACTCAACATATGGCAAGTATGTTAATTAACTGTGAGAACCATTCACCCAACCTTCATACGATGACGGTGAAAGTAGAAAATTAAAGTAACTAACATTGATTAACTTACCTCTTAGGCTCTTACCACGATAGGAATTTAGTTCGAGACTCTCATAGTTGTAAGTTGTAGCATATGTAAGTTAATAGTTAAAAATGAAACGAACCAATGAATCTAATAGTTAAAATGATCGAGTGAACTGCTAACAGGAACTGAAAAGCGAATCGGATCTACGACATGGACCGATAATCTATAGTACAAATCAGAAACCAAATCATTTCTAATAATTCATGACCTAAACCAAACTATATTGATTCGATTTTATCCATGATTATTCGATCCAATCCGATCCGTTTTCCTATATGTTAGTACTAGAATGATCACATTTTTTTGTTTTTGCAAATCAAATCATTCCTCTTCCTCCTCGAAAGACAGCCAGAGAAACGAAGGACCGGCAGGGCAGTAGTAGTTTTTAGACTTTGAAAGCCGCGGGGACCCCTCTTGGTCTTGCGATTTTGGCGGGTTCCTCCTGCTCTAAGAACAAAAAATGAAAGCGTCGTTCCGTTGGTCCTCTTTTCTCTTTGATCCAGAGCCCTGCTCCTTTTTTTAACCAATTTCTCTTACATACTTCCCATCTCCCACCAAACCCAATTCCCCTAATTTGCCCGCTTGGCGCTTTCCTTTCCCCCCTTTCCCTCCTCTCGCTGTTTGGTTCCGGCTGGAATCCGTGGCGGCGGCGACGACGACCATTTGAGGATTCCGGCGAACCCAGATCAGATCTGAGACCCCATTTTTATTTTGCCCCCCCCAACCGTCCTTTTCCTCTGTTTCTTCTTTTTTCTCTTGCGGGACTAGGGCCCTCTGCCGATTAGATATTTGTGCTTTCGTTCCCTTTTTTTCTGGGGATTTGGCATTTTCTTGCTTACATATATCCTCTCTTTTTTCTCCCGCGAGGATAAAAGGTGATGTAGGCAGGTGTTTGATAGCAAAGTATGAGATGCTTTTGGCGTAGATTGAAATTGCATATCAGGTCGAAGTTAATGGGGCTTTGTTTCAGCATGAACAAGCACCAGCGGTTCCCCAAGGAAAATCGCAAATTCTCTTCCGTCAGCTCCAAGGGTAATCAATCGATTCAAACCCAATCATCCCCACTGTTCCTCTTTCGCAAAGATCGCTGCTTTTTTGTTCTTTTTTCCTACTCTGTTGATGGATTATTAATTACGAACTCTTGGGTTCATTGATGGTGGCAGTTTTATTTGTATATATATATGGAATGGCGCCGGATTCTCTTCGGTTGACTTGTGTTTTCTTCTCCCTGTCCGGTTGTATATTTATGGATACATTTCGAAGGTTCTTCGAAAGATGCCGTCTTTTCTTTATCGATTACGTAGTTTCGTGATGGCATTGGAATTTCCTGGCATGAATTAGAGGGAATGTGATGAAAAACCCATGTGTTGGCTGCTTTCTTACGTTCCCCCTCTTTGTTTTTTATCCGTTAGTTCCAATATCTTAATGCTTACGATGTTTCATTCATGGAAGGTCGGCTTATGGGGTTTTGTGTATTGTCTTTGTCTGGTCATTTTTGAAAATCAGGAGGAAGTGAATCCATGAGGTCTTCTGCTGCACTAAATAAGCAAAGCTCGTGTGATACGCATAGTATGACCAAGAACACCGCTCCCAAAGTTCATAGGAACGTTTCGGACCTTCGAAACAACCCGGGATATAGTAATGTCGATAACTTTACCTACAAGGAAATGACATTGGCAACGAAGTACTTTAGGCCGGATTTCATCCTTGGAGAAGGTGGGTTTGGTGTTGTATATAAGGGAGTCATCGATGAGAGTGTAAGGCCTGGATATCCTACCACGAATGTTGCGATCAAGGAGCTTAATCCTGATGGGTTGCAAGGAGACCGTGAATGGCTGGTATTTCTAGCTTTCTCTTCTCTGTGATTGTTTTTTCTGTGCTCTAGATGCGCCAGTTGTTTTACCGATGCTTGAAGCCTCTCTCTTTACTCTTCCATGAGAATGAAGAAGCATGAGTTATAAAACCCCCTGACTTTAAGATGCAATGTTTTCTTGTTTGAAACGTGAACCTCTTCCTGTTACCATCTATGAGGTCATGTATTCTTTTGGAATATCGGAGGATAAGTGGTTGGTCGCTGCTCGAATGATGCCATTCTTCCGGATATTAATCCTTGGTGGACGGGCAGGCTTGCCTAGTTGAAACTGCTTTGAATTAAATGAGGGGAACTTACTTGCTGTTCTTATCTTTATGTTATCTTTGCAGGCAGAAGTCAATTTTTTAGGTAAACTCAGTCATACTAACCTTGTAAAGCTTATCGGCTACTGCTGTGAAGACGAGCACAGGCTTTTGGTCTACGAGTACATGGCCAGTGGAAGTCTGGAAACACATCTTTTCCGAAGTATGTCATTTGTGACTTTCATACATGTGCAATTGTTAATCAGCTCACCTAATATTAATCACTTGATCTATGGATGGAAGGGATTTGTTTTATAAGCAGAGAAGGGAAAAAGTTACTAATCGCCCATCAGGAAAACAAGGAATTGATGAACAAACAGTGGAGAACGAGTTCTCTTGAATGATAATTATACTCCATGCATGAACTATGAAGTGGCTCTATTAGTCAAACATGCATGTTTTGGCATTGTTCTTTTATGATATCCAAATTTTTGAATTCGATACATGCTGCAACATGCATATTTGGCATCTGGAAAAGGGATTAAGGTGTGTCTTCCTCCTTACTGTTTTTGTTCTGTGAACACCAGGAGTTGGTTGTACTTTGACATGGCCAAAGCGAATGAAGATTGCTCTACATGCTGCCAAAGGACTAGCTGTTCTTCACGGTGCAGAAAGATCTGTCATATACCGTGATTTCAAGACATCAAATATCCTACTAGATGCGGTTAGTTGTCAATCCATACTCTTATATCTTTTATAACGTCCATTATTCTCTTGGTTTGTTTCGATAACATGATGAAATGCATCTCCTTCTGCATGCAATAAAATTTGGAAGCATTCTTGGTATTTCTTTGAAGACTTTTGAGCTAGTTCTTTGGTGTACGATGTGCAGGATTTCAATGCAAAGCTTTCGGATTTCGGGCTTGCCAAAGATGGGCCCATGGGGGACCAGACTCATGTATCAACACGGGTAATGGGAACCTATGGCTATGCAGCTCCAGAGTATGTAATGACCGGTAAGTTATTCTATTAACTTGTGCCTTATGGTCTTCCATTTACCCATGAGAATTGAGAACCCATTCAGAAACTGTATACATGGTAACTGCTGGGTGGAAATTGCACGTCTCCGTTACTCTTGTTTACAAATAGAGCAAAATTGTCTGAATGAGCATGTGGGTTTATGGTGAAACAGGGCACTTGACAGCGCGAAGCGATGTGTATGGTTTCGGAGTCGTGCTGCTAGAGCTGCTTCTGGGAAGGAGAGCACTAGACAAGAGCAGGCCAAGCAGAGAACACAACCTAGTCGAGTGGGCCCGGCCGCTCTTGAACCAAAACAAGAAGGTTTTGAGAATCCTAGACCCTAGAATGGACGGCCAGTACTCGAGTAGGACGGCCTTGAAAGTAGCAAACTTAGCATACCAATGCCTTAGCCAAAACCCCAAGGAGAGGCCACTGATGAGCGAGGTGGTCGAATTGCTAGAGAGCGTACAATCGAAGGACAGCGACGTGGATGAACTAATGCTTCAGAGCAACAACCATAAAGGCGTGACACTCTACGAGGATCCTGGCCGCAGTCGTTCAGCAAAGAGCAGGAGCAAAAGAAAAGGGGAAGGAAGCTGGAGGAGCGTCAGTGAGGTCTCAGTAGAGCAGGTTAGCAGCAATGCATCTTCTCCTGAGCATCATCACCATCATCATCCTTCTGGATTGCCGAATGCGGTAAGGAATCCAGATAGTCATCAACCGTGAGTTTGGGAGAGGGGGGGAAGAGTGTGTCTCATATGTATACTATTACAATTATACTATCTATCTATCTATCTATAAATATAGTTTGTAACCCAATTTTGGGACAGAACTTGAAACTGTAAGAAATTTGTCAAGCAGGTCTGTCCCATTTTGGTGTTCTGGAGGGGTAAAAAGGAAAAGAGGGCAACCGTTTTTGTTCTCCATTTCCTTGTTGAGGTAGGAGAAAGAAGCCTTTTTTTTTCCTTCTTTCCTAAGGAGTGTTGACAATTGCTGGGTTTTTTTTTTCTGTCTGATTCCTTTTTGTATGTGAAGCCTAGCCTTCTTTTGCTTCGCTGAATGTACATTTATAGAGTCCAGAATTCAACAAGAAGACAACGCTCCTAAGCTAAGTTTTAGAATGGCAGAAACGGAAGGATTAACAGACTAAACGAACTGCAGATGGTTAATTCAAGACATGAAACTGGTTCATATCTGATAAGAGATTCCTGATTATTATAACTTTGACGACGGGCAACGATGATATTATTACAGCACGAGTAGTATTATGTCGTACTACGAGTATATTTTGAGCCTAGCTTGGAAATTTACACAAAAGATCCCTATTATTTCTGGAACTCCATGAGGGTGAGGAAGTAATCAACATAGTAGAACGCCCTGAAGTTGGAGAAGCCAACAGCCAGACCAAGCTGCTTGAACTCTTCCTCTGTCTTCTGCTTGCTCTTCACCCTGTAAAGTGTCATCATGAAGACGTCGGATTCGAGCAGGGCTCGCGTCCTGAGGCTGTGGTCGCTCTTCTCCGGCAGCACGGGCTCGATGACGATCAGCTTCCCTCCCTGTGGCAGCGCCTTGTAGCAGTTCTCCATTACCTTCTTGCATTCCTCCTCCGCCCAAGCCGTCAAAGCCCACTGCATAGGTCACACGGTTTAGGAATGAAAAGATCTGGTTAAACGTCGTCGTTTCGGATTAATTGGTTAGTACGTAAATAATTGTGAGAAGCCCAATCCAACGGTATTTTTTTTTTTACCTTCATGAAGATTGCATCACCACTAGGTATGGACTTGAACATATCGCCACCCACATGCTTCACGTCTGCAACAACGATAATGAATTAATGATGATAGTAAAATGTAATAACATGTTGGGTAAATGCCACATTTGGTCACTGAGATTACCGAATCGTGTCATGTTTAGTCACTAGAAAATTTTAATATCAATTTTGGTCACTCGAATTACTGAAACATGTCACATTTAGTCACTCTCCCGTTAGTCTCCGTCCAACTCCGGTCACTCGAATCACTAAAACATGTCACATTTAGTCACTCGAATTACTGAAACATGTCATATTAATGGAGTTGGACAGAAACTAACCGGAGAGTGACTAAATGTGAACTGTTTCAGTAATTCGAGTGACCAAAATTGACATTAAATTTTTCTAGTGACTAAACATGACATAATTTAATAATATCAGTGACCAAATGTGGTACTGGCAGGAAAAAAAAAATTACTGTACTCAAAACCACTGTTTCAAATGGCCGTTTGATTAGGTGTGGCCGGTTTCACTGCAACAAACTATACACTCACTGGGAATGACAGGAGCTTTGGCAACGACTTCGGGCAGGTCGAAGTTGATTCCTTCTCGGATGTTGGGGAACTTGGGTAGGATCATCCGCAGGGAATCGCCGCTGTTTCCGGCGACGTCGACCAATGTCTTGACGCCGTGGAACCCGCCGTAGTCGCCGCCCAGCAGGGCCTTCATGAACGGTGCGGACGTGCCGTACATCGACTTCCGCATCAGTTCGATCATCTCCGGCCGCTTGCCGTAGTAATCGTACGTCGACTCGCCGTGGACCTTCACGAACGGATCCGTCGTTGGGTCCGTCACCGTCTCGTGCACCAGCGGCCACGTCCTGATCAGGACGTCCTGCTCAGACGCGACAATTTCAGGTCCGTTAATTGGCTGGGCTCTAAGAAAATACGAATTTTGTTGCTAGTCCGGCCCAGTTAAGTTGTTTTATTTCTTTTGTTATTGGGCCGTTATACGATAAAAGCCCATCAGGTGGAAGAGATAGTCAGAGAATCGAACTTATGATATGATCAGAGTGCTTTCGTCACTTCATCTTTCTCCATGTCGTTCTCCCCCCCCTTTCCCCTCTTTCAGTTTTCGGGTCAAAATCCCAAGTATTAGACTATTAGTTGCCGCTTAATTTAAAAACTAGCATTGTCATTCTGCCGCCAGATAGAGATGGCAACCGTGAGGAATTGTGCATATTATTAATTAAAAAAAAATTATTTGAATTTTATTTATAATCATACTCACATAACAATCGGTTATATTATTTAAAATCATATTCATGAGTGATTTTATCTTTGCGATAATAGGGCGGGTTCGGGTTGAATTAGTAAAAAAATCATGCATGTCTTCAAATTTTAACCATCCCCATTAACAATCATTCGAGTTTGAATTTTACCCTAGTCAACTAAATCTGATTCACACAACTATCCACAAGTATGATGATTTTTACCATCCCACCGTCGCGTTTCGATCTGATCTAGTAGATGTAGGGGAAAAAAATAGCGAGAAAAATAAAAGAAGAGCATGGATGACAGAATTAACCATAATTTCGGATATCAGTCCGACTTTGACAAAATCAGATAGGATAAAACCCGAACTGAATAAGATACTCGACAGTATGTACGAAATCATTATTGTCATCTCTAAAAAAGCGGAGTCACGTGAAAGTGGTGGGAGGGGGCGTACCTGGTGGTGCTGGAGGATGTAGGCCGCGTAGGAAACCCCGTCGGCATCCGTCACCAGCGTCTCGCCGACATCCGTCAGGGAGTACTTCCTCTCGCCGCCGGTGGCGGCGGCGGCGTCGTGCTCGTCGAACACGCCGTGGGCGGAGAGCAGGCGGAGGATGCGCTGGAGGTTCCGGGGATCCGCCGGGCTGGAAGAAAGAGGAGGATGGAGGCGGGAGAGGATCTCGGCGGCGGAGAGAGGGGCGTTGGCGCCGCCTTGCCAGATGGCGTCGGCGACGTTGAGGCGGACGACGGCGGTGAGCGACATTGGGACGCTGATGGCGTGGGCCATCTCGATGATCGCCAGCTTGGCTTTCTTCCGCCGCTCCGCGCACTCGCCTTCCATTGCTTTGCTGCTGCGTCTTTTCAGCCCGAATGAATGAATGATCTCTCTCTCGAGCGGATCTCTGCGGAAACAATGACAAGAAAGAAGTAGCGGTTCTGGTCTTGCTCTTTATTACCATCACTTGTTTCTCATCCTTTAGAACAGGATTTCTGTTACCAAGGAATTGGACTTTGTGATATTAGTAAGAAAAAATCAGAAATGCATAACCATTTTGGAATTTTTTTCATTTTATTTTTTTTATTTTTATGAATTAGATATTTATCATCTCGTCAGAAAGAACCATTCCCAACAATTTTGTCAGCTAGGCAAACCAATAATTGAAATATCGTACCGGAGGTCGTACTCGAAAAGTTAGCGATAGGGTATTTTATGCTAAAACTGTGATTTAATCATGGTTCAACCGTATTATACCGCTTATTGGTTTAGCTTCCGGTAGAAGGTTTTTTACATCAAACCGCTGGTACGAAACCGTATTTTAATCCTTGAGGCAAACATCTCTCAAAAGAGGAAATGATGGAGTATATCAATGGACTGCAATTTAAGAAGTGGTACCTATGGGCTAGGGGCAATGAGTTGGGCCACACCCTACCAAATCGGACCAAATCGATGTTTGGATCAGACTACACCGAATCGAATATAATATGGCCTGATCTTTGATCCAGTGAAATTTATAAATACTGAAGAAAAATGAATTGAATTGACATTTGAACCGGACTGTATGCACCACAATTCTCCTGAATCTGGTCCGATTCAGTCCAGACCGAACCAATGTCCACCCTTAGTGGTACTCTATATAGAATTTCGAGTAGATGTGCACGAATGTTTAACTTAAGTGATACTGACGCTCTAATTGACTCTCAATTTTCGCACTTTAATGGTATGGCATGTATTTTTATCTCCAAAAAAGTCGGTGATTTTAGACATTGATTTTAAGACGTTGATTTTATTACGTTGGATCGCAGTCACTACTTGCTATTCAACTGTGACGAAGTGATTATGATCTTCGATAGAATAATCTGTAACATATATCGCTATGCTGTAGTTGTAACTTCATATATATCACTGGTTAATTTTCCAAATGCTTGCAAGTCTTTTTCATCTCGATTTTACTGATAACATTCTTCACCAGCAAAGCACCTAGAGCATAATTCGACAGGAACAGCAATACCAAAGCTAAAACGACGGTTACCAAATTGTATAAAATATGAAAGGGGAGTACGCTTTTTCGCCCCAAAGACTCTGAACACTGTTTCATTTTTTGGCGTCTAGCGCCCAAGTATTGGCCAAGTATTGGAAAAGCACATTCCACGCACTTTCTTCTCCAGCCGTACTCCTATCCCTCTCAACCTTACCCTCAGTCCAGCAAACACAGGCCACCGCCCATACTCCACAGTCCGCGCTACAGTTGCCATACCTTTCCTACTCCCAATTTTCCCCCGAAATCAAGCATTCACCAGTCAGTGCCTCAGTGGCCGGTCATGTCTATCTATTCATCGTTCCATTCTGCAATCCCCAATCCCACTCCCTTAACCCCTGCTCACAGTCACCAGCTCGCTCACGCAACCACCCATAATTTCTGCGCCGCTTGCTTTCCTTTAATCTGTGCGGAAAAAATTGCTTTCTTCTCGCCCAAATCGTCCTCTTCGGTTCCACCTCTCATTATTTTCTTTCGCTTCCTTTTTCCTGTAGCTCAGCCAGTCACGACCTCGCTTCCTATTTCCTTTGCTCTGTGCGGAGAAAATTGCTTCCTTCTTCATGCGTTGCAGCCTGGAGAAGAATGACCCTTGATTGTCGAGATGCAACCTTCTCCACGTTCCACCAACCATTTTTTTCGGCTGCGGTGCTGCGACGGAAGGGTTGCAGATGCGAGGAGAGCTACCTGTGCCGTTCAATCCAGTGTCACGACAGAAGGACCACTCGCCGGTAGCAACCGGGAGACAATGTAAAGTTGAAGGCTTGGGGATGTTTGACGAGCCAGGGAGGATCTGCATCAGCGATAGCTGAGGTATTGGTTTGCCCGGAAGGATTCCCGGCGACGGTGGCGCAGAAGTTGTGGAAAAGAATTGGGGGATGGTCTTTTGAAAGGTAGTCGGGCTATTGCATCGGAGAGAAAGTCATTTGAATGGCCACAGGGTGGATTGATCAGTGCCCAGTCGAAATCAGTTAAGGGTGGGCGCACTCACCTTACTTTTAACTCTGTTCCAGGTAGATTTGTGTTGGTTACCTATATTATTTGTTCTTGATCCTGTCCTATTGGCTGAAGCTGTGTTTTCTTGGGCTTCTTTAGGCATACCCAACACACATTCAGTTTGTTCCAAACTTCATACCTCAGATCAACCTGTAAGTTTCATTCTTTAGCTATTTGACGGTATATATGTTTTGGCTTCCATGTTCTTCTGCCGTTGGCCCTCTTAAGCAAAACCTAAGATAGTTTACGCCTGTTATTGATTTCTTCTGCCCCCCCCCCCCCCTGACATGAAAACGCTGCTCGGAGTTGGAACCTTACACCTGCATCAAACTCCTCACAAGTTTCAGCAGAATGATGAATCACATATCGCTTCACCATCCTAACATAATTGGTTTCAGGGAGATTCCTTTCCCAGCAATCACTCTCCAAATTGTTTTTTATTTTCTTTAATGCTATTTTGTACTACATCAGTGCTTTAATGGCCCTTTTTCCCCTCTGTGGGGTGTATGCTTTTGTAGCTGGTCCTGACTCCAACCCATCAGAGCTTCATAATCTGTTGTTCCACTGTAATTTGCTTTCTAAATATGCCACCTCAGCATAATTAATTTGCTTCCTAAGACTTCGACGGAAGCAATTTTAGATCCGAAATCTCTTGATGTCACCTCATTTGTTTGTGGAAACTCAATACTCAGCATGATTAAGGTACCTTACCCAAAGGAGTTTGATAGGATTTGATGAAGTTTCTTGCATATGTAATAACCTGCTCAATGTATACAATTGTAGTCTCCAATTTAATATTCTGCTCAATTTAGCTTAAATGAGCTATAGGATTCTTTGCCTCATTAATTTGTCACTCAAAGGTCTACTGCACTCCTAAAGATGAATTTGGAGCCTGAGTTAATAAATTTTGTTCTCTATTTTCTTATTTACACACTAGCTGAAGCATCAGAACTTTGTTCGGGATGAAAAAAAAATCCTTTTAGAAGTTTGTAAAATCATGCAATGTGCCCATGAGATGCCATAAAACATACAGAAATGTTTCTGAACATGTCATCCCAAATGGGAACTTCGTTTCCATCCCTTTTCTCTTTTGAGTCTTTCTCATTAACTAGCTGTTGCATAGGTTTAGATAGCTGCAGGAAATTATTAATGGCATGTGTAGTATAGTTTATTTAGCCACAAAATCACTGTCGTTGAATTGTTTGTATATATCTCTGTCTCTTTCAGTTCAAAGATATTGTGGATCTTCTTTTGTTTTAGTGCTGCTGCACTTTCTTTCCCTGTTACTCTACAAGAATGCTAGAGTCTTCTCTAATGTTTGTGCACTTTCTTTGCTTTGTCATCTTCCTACTCATACATATATATTGTCACTGATATGATTTACATAAAGTGGTATGTGTTCTCCTTGCTTCAGGCACTTGCCTGTAACCTATTGCTGATTTTCTTTTATCTGTGAGCTAGAGAGTGTGTATAGCAGGGACTAAAGATTACGCTAATTGAACACATAGTTGTGGTAATGGTCATTCAAGTTGGTTGGCCAGTTGATGATTTGGTTATGGCAGTTCAAGAGTAGCGTAGCTGTGGTAGTCGCTGAATAAACAAGTACCTATGGACTATGGTGATGAGAATGTCATGGAGAATTTAATAATGATGGAGGAAGACGAGCTCAATAAGGACAAACTCAGGTAGAAACTCCCAAGGAGATTGAGAATGCTAATGAGATGAAACAAGTAACACCAGTTATGAAGATGAAGAAGAGAGCCAATTGACCAACTGTTTTTATTCTTTTGTTGTCTTTGTTTGTTTGTTTAGTCCAACAATCAGATACCAGTTGCTGAATGAGAGGATGGGTTACCAATCCATAGGTGCATTGGTAAAGTTTTGGATGTTTAATGTGACTCTTCCCAATTTTTTATTATACTTTTAGGAAATTGCCAGTAATATTGTTGTACTTGAGTTGCACACTTTCACGGAATTGATAAACTTGATGTTAATTACAATGATCATATGAAACAATTTCATACATTTTTAGCATAGTCAAAACTTTAAAATCCTCAATTGTCATACCTAAATTAGCCACAATGCGATTATGTTGCCTGCGGCGTAGCCGTGGGTATTGATTCTAGTGACCATAAAAGGCAGGCCAGAGACATGATGAGTTGATCCAGTTGGAGAAGTCAAGGGTTCCTTCCTGTCAAAAACAAGGTTCAAGGCACCATTGTTAGAGAGGATAAATTTTTGCAGCAACGGATATGCAATTTGGCAGCCATATGCAAACAATGGTCTGTCTTACCCCACAGTTGCTGCAATTTAGCTGCAAGTTGAGTGACAGATTTTCTTTCAGCAGGGTTCGAGCATCCCACACCGGCTGCCTCCTGAATTGCAGACAAGAATTCTCTTCTTCCTTTAGAAGAGAGGCCAAAATAATCTGGTCCGTGGATTGAGCTCAATTCCACAACCTACACCCAAGAGAACAAATTCCCATAAGGGTTTGAACCATGTACATGTGAAAAGAAACATACAGAGCCATCCATCTCAGCAACAGGTTGTATTCACTTTTCCTCCAATAATCTAGGGAGAAGATACCATTATGACATGTAACTGGACAAAAATAGTGAAGAACTTGCCTGATGCAGCCAGGGTATGATAGAGTTGATAAATCTCTGCTCCAAGAAGAGTGATGCCAAACTTGTAAGAACTTCATACATGGTTTGGCCGGAAAGACATTCCAGCACAGGACCAGTCCTATTGAGAAGCTCGACTAGAATGAGTTCATTGCCAGAGGAAAGTGCTTCAGCATATGCAGAGTCCACGTCCCCTTCGCGCATAAAATCTTTTACACGTTCCCAGTAGAAGTTCTGGTTCTCCATCCCATTTTGCCTGCTGCCATTCTTGACATTTGGAACTGTGCTCTGGGAACCTCTACCTGTACTTTTCAGCATCCCTTTCCCTGTAAGATTCCTAGTAGCAACTGCAGTAGGATTGGGGCTAATTTCTGTAGCTTGTTTTGCTGATACCGAATTTCTCGATCTAGTTCTGCTACCATCCCAAATATCTGTGTGCTTCACGGAAAATTGTGAAGGCTGCCTACATTGAATATCAATAGATGGTCTGGGTGTGCATCTAGGAGAGGGACCATTTTGGTTCTGCTTCATAATCCGGGAGACTGCTGATTCCGAATGCCTAGCTCCTTGCACAAGAAACCTAGATATCCTATCCACTTCATGCTCTAATCCTGACACTTTGGACTTCAAGCCAGACATGTTCGCCATTATCCCGGCTGTGAAATCCTGAATATGAAAATGCATGATTAGAAACTTCTAGCAAACTCACATGTGACCATCAACTTGAGGAAGAACCCACTAAAAAAATGGTATTACAGCTTTATCATGCAACTAACTTCAACTAGACCAACTAATAATGAGGGGGGAGATTCTGATCTAGCATGGTATTTACTTACATAATAGTGAACAACAATAAACATGCATCGTGCAAAGCAGTTACCTGCAGCAGGTCCAACAAGTTCGCCTGTCTATTCTTGATCTCAGAGAGCTGTTTCCTAATTGAGGCCACTTCACTTGACACATGTGAGCAACATTCGTGTGAAGGTTGAAAGGTAGTTTCAGTAACCGTGGAATCAAGACTTCTACGATCTTGAACATTTACACAATACACATCTTCAGTATCCATCCCTGCAGCTGCAGCATGCTGGCTTCTTCCCATTACTTTAAGTAAAGCACCATTCTCGAGAGAGTCATGATGAACTGAACTTCTCTTGGACGCCGAGAAAGAGTCCTGCTTGTCATCCATTGGCACATATTCATAGCTAACATCAGGAGCACTGGAAATGTCAACGCTCATTCTTTCTAAAGTCCTGGTAATAGAACTACTACCCTCAGATTCCTCATTCTGAGGATCTGGCAGAGGCAAATCATGATGCTTGGGAACTGCAATTTCAATACGCCAATCGTCTGATTTAGACTGTGGCGAGTCGGTGTAATTCTGGCACCCTCTCTTTACAGACAAAGGAAATCTTCTCTTAGATGGGTCTGTTACAACTTTATTCATTATTATTTCTTTCTGTGCAGAGCCACTGCTACTCGTGATGTCACTGTACTCTCCTCCACAGTAGTTTTCTGTACAGAAATAATCATTAGCCGCATCCAAAAATACTGTAGAAGAAAACAAGATCATGTTGATGAAGAAGCCAAAGCTAAGAGCCCCTCCAATAACAGAAGAAAACAAAGACAAGAACCGTAAGCTGGAAAGATTCTGGAACCAATAGACCATACTTGCTTAACTGTTGGAAACACGTTTACGTCATAGATATACAGTTAATTCTTATTAGAATGTGGCATCAGCCAAAAACCTTTTATGGATGATCCCGTTTCAGAAGCCTCAGGAGCATCAGGCCCAGGAAGAGTTTTCCAGCATTGTATGGCATGAAGTACAGTGTCTCTAACAGGTTTCACCTATAAGATACACAATAAGCATCCAACAATACAACAATGACTCAAAACATCAATCAAGAAGCATAAGCATAAACGTCACCAACTTTATCAAAACGGCAAGATTCAAGGGATCGAATGCAGGAAGCTTTGAAAAAACCCAGGCAAGACCCGCCACCAGCAGCGATTTCTCCTAGAGCTACAGAAGCTGCCTTGCGTGTAGTCCAGTCACTGTTCTTGAGAGCATCTTGGATGCTAGTCATTGCAGCAGCTAAAATATTTTGCGAAGGTGCACCACCTGCCTGAAATACAAATTGAGAAACGTCAAGTCATTCAGAACCTCCAAACAGCTAAACTCCAGCTTAAACTAAAGTGTGTTACTCAAAATATGTTCAGGAAAATATATTTAAGAAAAACATAAGACAGTTCCTATAACACCTCCAACACTTCACATCAGTAAAAAGCGATAAAGAGTCATCACTATGCAGGTCAATAATGCAGTTATGAACAATGATATCAGGGAGACATTGAATTGTGGTTGTGATTGTTTGAAAGCCATTTGTTTTGAAGAAGAAAATCTCTCCTGTTTGTCAAGCTACTTTTTAAAGTTGTCATGGTTCTTCAAATTATATGGTCTAACCATCAATGTGTAGCAATGGAAAAAATGATTGTGTAATTCCAGTGTAGTATGTGTA